TCCACTGCCTCCCGGAGTTGGGTCAAATTCATGTTGGTAGCTTTGATGACCCTGTCCATCCATCTCGTCCTCTGTCATCCCCTTCTCCTTTTGGCTTCTCTCTTTCCCAACATCAGGTTCTTTTCCAGGGAGTCTTCTCTTCTCATGAGATGGCCAAAGTATTGGAGCCTCAGCTTCAGGGTCTGTCCTTCCAGTGAGCACTCAGGGTTGATTCCCTTCAGAACGGTTTGTTCTCCTTGCAGTCCAGGGGACTCTCAAGAGTCTCCTCCAGCACCACAATTCAAAAGCATCAATTCTTCAGCAGTCAGCCTTCTTTATGGTCCAGCTCTCAGGAGCCCAAGAAAGTAAACTCTGTCACTGCCTCCATATCTTCCCCTGTTTGCCAGGAGGCGATGGGACCAGTGGCCATAATTTTAGTTTTTTTCATGTTGAGCTTCAGACCGTTTTTGGAGCTCTCCTCTTTCACCCTCATTAAGAGGTTCTTTAAGTCCTCCTCACTTTCTGCCGTCAGAGTGGTATCATCCACATATCAGAGGTTGTTGATATTTCTTCCGGCAATCTTAATTCGGTTTTGGGATTCATCCAACCTGTATTCTGCATATAAGTTAAATATGCAAGGAGACAATATACAGCCTTGTTGTACTCCTTTCCCAATTTTGAACCAATCAGTTGTTCCATATCCAGTTCTAACTGTTGCTTCCTGTCCCACGTATAGGTTTCTCAGGAGGTATATAAGGTGGTCAGGCACTCCCATTTCTTTAAGGACTTGCTATAGTTTGCTGTGGTCGACACAGTCAAAAGCTTCATTGCCGAGGCAATGAAGCAGAAGTAGATGCTTTTCTGGAACTCTCTGGCTTTCTCCATAATCATAACATGATGTTAACTGTTGTAAGCCAGGGCAAGAAAGGCAAAAAACAGATTTTTCTCTCCACATGTCCTTTGGACAACAAAAACAGTAGCACTTTTGTTGCTGACAAGTCAGAGAAACTGGGGGCGAGGGGAAAGGAAAGGAGTGCTGTCCATAGCAGCATTTTAGGATGCCAGTATATGGCTCACAAGAGTTCAGAAGTCTCCTAGGAAAGTTTAGCTTTCAGAAACAGAGTTTTTTTTGCAAGTGGTACGCTGAAGGGACATTTGGGGATGTCTGCGAGTGGGGTAGGAAGTGGGCCTTTCCCCTCCTAGTCTGGGCAGAAAAATGTATAGCTCATGAGGGAAAGGAAGAATATAAACAGAAAAATGTATAGCTCATGAGGGAAAGGCAGAATATAAATACTGTATAGCAAATACTCCAATCATACGTGTTGTGTGTCGTCAAGTCACTTCTGATGTATGGCGACCCTATGAATGAGCGATCTCCAAAATGTCCCTTCTTCAACTGCCCTGCTCAGCTCCTGCAGATTCAAGCCTGTGGGGAGTCACTCCATCTCATGTTTGATGTTCCTCTTTTCCACAAGAGAACTCAGGGGCCTTAAATCAGCCTGTCCCCTACAACAGTGGTCTCCAACCTTGGGCCTCCAGATGTTCTTGGACTTCAACTCCCAGAAATCTTGGCCAGTACAGGTGATGGCGAAGGCTTCTGGGAGTTGTAGTTCAATAACATCTGGAGGCCCAAGGTTGGGGACCACTGCCCTACAAGGAGCTAGAGAGCAGACTCCACAGTCACACAGGTCACCTGGTCTCAGTCCTCCCCCACTCAATCTGCATTGCCATTCAGTTTAATCCATGAAAATTGTTTCTAGTTTCCCTATTAGTTAATATAATTATCATATTCAGTTTTATGCAAATAGAGAGAAACACCCCCCATTGGTATCTCCCACCTTTATTTGGCAATCCTGTCGTTTTTGTTTTGAATGTCATTTTTGTTTTGAATTGGTGGGTAGGTGGCGAGAGTATCTGGTAGCTGTCATGAAAAGATGCTCTTTCCTCACCACCACCCTCACAGAGAAAGAAAGAAGGCATAAGATGCTGCTATTTTCTGCCATACAAAATAAAACTAGATTAAATAGGGAGCCTCTCCCTCAATTTGTTTGAATCTTTTTGTTGTCTTGAAAACTGAACATTGCCCCTCCCCACATTTCCAGTCAGGCACAAGTTCAGACTTTTAGTATTAATCCCGACGAGAAACGTCTGTACTCACTGACATGCTCTTAAACTTTCAAAGTATTTACATAATCTGGCACAGGCAAATCATACATTGATTGACAATCTATAATAAGGATATCTTTATCCTTATTATCCGAGGTGGCAATCCCTCTGCCACCTCGGCAAGTCAATGGGGTTTTGAGAGGTGCAAACCGCCTCCACAAACTATACATTGCCCCCTGTCAATGGGGTTTTGAGAGGTGCAAACCGCATCCACAAGCTATACATTGCCCCCCCAGCAAGCTGGGCACTCATTTTATCGACCTGGGAAGGATAGAAGGCTGAGTCAACCTTGAGTCACTACCTGGGATTGAACCCCAGGTCGTGAGCACAGTTTTGTCTGCAGTACAGCAGTTTAACCACTGCGCCACGAGGCTCCTCCACATTTAAACTCTGTATGAAGCAAAATACTAATTGTCTCCTGTAGAGCATGCCATTCTTACCAGCTTAAAGTTTTTCCTCTCTCTTTTTCTTGCAGCTTATAGTTTGAAATGCAACTATTGTGTACGGGAGAACCCTCAACAAGGCTGTAATAGCAGAATGAATGTATGTTTCGCAAAAGATAATCAAAAGTGTATTGCAGTCACTATCACCTTCCGTAAGTTGACACGGTGGAGCGGCCATAATGATGATGATATGCTTTTCTTTTCATAGTTTCAAAGCTGTCTTTCCTTTTGCTCGGCTTAGATTTCCCTCAGGAAGGACTGTTGTTCAGGGAGACGCATATACCTGTGATGGATCCATGTTCCCTCCCACAGCAGGGTCTCCTTACAGATATATGTCTCAGCCATGCAAATGATTCCCATGTTGACCTTCCACTGACCAATTACAACTGTGCTTCTGGAAAAAAAAACAGGTTGTACTGGGACCCTCAAAAGGAAAATGTGATATGCAGTAGAGAAATATCAAGAGAGGAAATGGTGTTTGTTTGTTTGTTACATTTATAGTCTATGTTTCCTTCATTGAACTATGTTTGTTTGTTTGTTACATTTATAGCCTATGTTTCCTTCATTGAACTTAAGATGGGGTACCCAATTCTCTCCTTCTCCCCGCTTTTATTCTGGTTACAATCCTGGGAGATCAATCTGGCTGACAAGAGGATGTAAGCAATTCTAACAGCAAGGGTGTCACACAAATTCTTCACAGTGGGCTGACGAGGGGTCCATGTCCTCTTCTTGTGGGCCGCAGGGCAACAGGGCCTTGACCACTCAGAACAGATTGACAGGATGCTATAGACACAATGGCGGCAGGAAAAAAAGGAGCTTCTCCATGGTCATGGAGACAGCAAAGTTTCATTCACTGGAGGAAAAGGGGGCTATCAATGAAAGAAACGTCATTTCCTCTCCTATCCTTTTTCTACTACATGTGACCTATTCTTTCTGCTGTCCAGAAAACAACCCCCTTTTTTCATGGGGACACACCTGAGCTGTGCTTGCCACAAAGTTGGTCCCTCCTGCTGGGATTCTGAATGTCCGGGTACATGAACAGTATGGTCGAAAACAGAGGCTTGAAGCTTTTCTCAGCTATTTCACTTGGAACATCTGGCCCAACTTATCAGGGGAGGCCTTCCTCTCAGTCCCACCACCCTCACAGGGGCAGTTGGTGGGGACACGGAAGCGGGGCCTTCTCTGTGGCTGCTCCCAGACCGTGGAACTCCCTCCCATGGGAAGCTAGGTTGGCCCCATCTTTGCTGTCCTTCTGCAGGTAAAGGGCAGCTCCAATGGCTCAATTTTTGCCACATATCAGTCGGGTGAGGACTCTGTTGTTATCAGGAGCCTCCCAGCCCTGACTGACCGGAAAGAGAAGAAGCCCTCCTGCAAATGTGCATTGACACAGTTTCTAAACTGCATCAGGACTTGCATCTTGTGCAGAGAAACCAAAGAAATGTAGATTTCCTTCAAGTTTTCCATAATACAGTATATCTGTATTATAATACAGTATATCTGTATTACCTCTCCCTCTTTCTTTCTTTCTTTCTTTCTTTCTTTCTTTCTTTCTTTCTTTCTTTCTTTCTTTCTTTCTTTCTTTCTTTCTTTCCCTTTTTCTCTCCTCAGAAGACAAACTGAAATACAGGATGGAAGGGTGTACCCGTGGCAGGAACGACTGTACGCGAGAAAGGAAGAGCCCTGTGGGTTACATCGTGAACGTGACGTGTTGTGCCACAAATTTGTGCAACCACTGGGATCATGATCACGATTAATATCTGAGGAAAACTCAGACCAAAGTTAAAATAGTTTTGTAAGGTTTGGAATTTTGCAGACTGAGAGGTTTAGTTACTGTATTTCTGTTAATTAGGGAAGGGACCCAGGAAGTCCAGTTTGGCAAACTTTGCACTTCCTTGAGGGCAAGTCTGTTTTTGGCCCATGCATGTTTCTATACATTTGTTGGGAACAAGCTCAACCAATGTCTTAATAATAATATCAGGAAAATGTCATTAAGAAGCTGACGACTGCAGAAGAATAAAATAACTCAGAATTGTTCCTGAAATAATGTGCCCATCATTGGAATTGACATTAAAATCTGCATTTTGTAAAAAACAGACTCAAAAGTCATCAAATGACACAAAATGCATGCTAACAATATATGACTAGTTTTAATACTGTACACTGGGTTTCATAGTAAAGAAACAAATGTGCATATTATGTTCAATAACATTTCATGGATCTTTTCCCCTGCTTACCTGCTACGACTTGAACAAAGCTTCAAATTAACTGTACCTGTGGACATTCTTCAATCATCTCTCACCACGTTGGGTGAATATTGGTCCTCATTTTCACTTGTGCCTTCCCTGATACTGCAAATAGTGACAAGTGCAGAAGGTGAGGGCAGGTCAACACATTTGATAAAGACTTCCATTGTGTCTGAAAACACAATGCTCCTTTATTTTCTGAAGAACCAGTTCAATTGTAATAAAAACCATAGGTCATTATTTTGTTTTATTTGGATCCTGCTGTACTTCAGAACCATGAACTTGGAATTCTCAGGCGCCAGAGACTACATTAAGTCCCACTCTTCTTCACTTCAAAAACATGCTGAAATAAAAAAGAATATTGATAGTTGCCACAGAATGTAGTTTTTACAAATGCTTACAGGGGAATGCATGCTGGACTAAACTGTCCCCACACATTAAGATCTACTGAAGAGAAAGTAAAGGAATATTCTGACAAATAGAGGCATGAGAGGCTGAATTAGAGGGTACATTGATGGGCTAAAAACTAGAGGGTACATTGATGGCAGTACTGTATAATATAATTGTGGTTAATTTTAAAAACTCACACCCACAAAAAGAATAGTTTCCTTCTCTAACAAGGGGAAGGAAGGGTTCACTACTTGAATTCTCCACAATGAATGTTCACATACAGATAAACATTATGGAGAATGGTTGTTGTGGGTTTTTCGGGCTCTTTGGCCGTGTTCTGAACCTTCAGAACACGGCCAAAGAGCCTGAAAAACCCACAACAACCATCAGATCCTGGCCGTGAAAGCCTTCACCAATACATTATGGAGAATGATGTAAGCAAGTAAAACTGCAGCAAATATAAAGCAATGAATTACAGAAATATTTTCACTTCAGAAATCTGCTAAGGATTGATTAAAATGGATTGATTAAAATATATGTGAAGAGGAGGAAAAATAACTTGGGGGGGAGAAAAAACTTGAAACTAGAGATGGAGGTACTGTATTCGTATACGAATGTCCCCACGCAGCTGGACTTAACAAGGGGCCGGCCCCTATGGCCGGCCCATCCACTCACATGTCTGGCAGCAGGGGCAGCCTCGCTCATCCTTCCAATCACTTCCGCTCACTTCCTGCTCACCTGGCCACTCCCGGCAGTGGGAGGGAGGACGAGTCTCCCCGCATGGCTGCTGGGCTGGACATGTGAGTGGATGGGCCGGCCACAGGGGTCACTCCCTCCTTAAGTCCAGTTGCGCAGGGATATTCGTATCTGTACACGAATACAAAACAACCATCTCTACTTGAAACCAACCTCCCTTGCCATCTAGGGCTCAAACATGAGCTTGTGACGTAACAGCTTAGCAAGGTGGATGTAACTGGATTTATATGGTGACTGGATAGCCCATGGCAAAATATAATCTGGGATTAAAAAGTAAGCCTATCACACAGATAACTCTAATCCACCATTCCCCTTCTTCCCCAACCAATTTGCCAATGCACAAGTGGAATTTCTTCACACAGATGCAGAATGCATTGACTGGGCAGTTCGCCACCCTGCACAATTCCTGTTATCTGAACCACCATTCCCTTTCTGTACAGGTCCCTCAACACCTTCCCACATATCTTACAGTGATAAAGTGTTTATGGGATCCTAATACTCTGAAACAACACTATATTTGCATAATTGCTGCCTCCGGACACAGGGTGCATATTGCCCAGCATCATTCTCTCACCCACCCACATGTCATGGCCTTAAAGCCTTTTCTCACCAGCATCCATGCTCCAATCTGTTGTATCACAGACACACACATACATACACACACGCACACTCTTCTCCCATGCCACATGGAAATTGCACATCAGTTCCTTCCTGGTAAGGTCTGATCCCTTTTCCTAGTCATTTACCTGGCCACATGGAACAGTGTCCTTTCAATCAGTCTGCAAGAGCGGTTAAAAAAGAACAACAATAAAGAGAAAAGATGTATTTGTGAAGGCTTTCACGGCCGGGATCTAATGGTAGTTGTGGGTTTTTTGGGCTCTTTGGCCGTGTTCTGAAGGTTGTTCTACCTAACATTTCGCCAGCCTCTGTGGCCGGCATCTTCAGAGGACAGCACTCTGTGTGTCCTCTGAAGAGTGCTGTCCTCTGAAGATGCCCATGGTCACAGAGGCTGGCGAAACGTCAGGAAGAACAACCTTCAGAACACGGCCAAAGAGCCTGAAAAACCCACAACCAAAGAGAAAAGAAGATGACTGAGCATTTTGCCGTTGTTGTGATCTCAGTTCTCATTGCTGCTTTGATTTAGGAAACCCAATTGCTTAATCTTTGTCCCACAAGCCTATGGCTTTTAATTGTTATGGCCCTCACACCTCTTCAGACCAGTTGAGTAATTATAACAACCTTGCATTTGAAATCCACAGATCTGCAAGTGTTGGGTGGTTTCAAGAGAAAACAGGTACATGCTGTTACACTTTTAAAATATAACAACTAAGTATGTATGAACTATAAAACATTTTACCCTTTGGCGTGGACACATTTAAGCAAATATATTAAAAATGCATGCAAATGTGTATGCTTTTATAGTGCAAAAATATACATGAAAGTCCTTAATGGGAGGAAAAACAAAGTTATTACTGTAATATTAACCTACTGTCACATAAGGAGCCATTAAGATGGCTATTTGGCCTGTCCAGTGTTGAAGGATGTATGTCTCTTTGTACAACTTGATGGGCTGGCTGGATAACTCAATGAGTTAGGTTGAAGCTAGAGGTTAGGGGTTCAAATCCCTGCTGAGCCTCCCAGAAGAGCCAGCCGTTGTAACCCTGAGCAAGCTGTACAGTCCTATTGCACACCCAGAAGAAGGGAACAGTCAACCACTTCTGAGTATTCTCTACCTAGAAACCCTGAAAAGAGTCACCATGAGTCAAAATTGACTTATTGACACACAATCATTGTATCAGTAGAAGATCTGTCAAGACAGGGGCTGTGGTTGTACAATGTCCAGCTGAAGGGCTTCCCATGACAACTGGTGTGAGGTGGCACTCACACCTTGGTTAAGAAAACAGGAAATATTGTAGAATCACAACAGATCGGAAAATGAGGTGTTTTCCTGACCCGATCCAAAACTCCTGCCACAAATAGTAATCCCAGGGACAAAATAAAATACTGTATGATACTAAACACCTCATCGGCAACATCATGGGCAGGGTGTGGAGAATTTAATAGCAGGCAAGATGCTGTGGTACTGGGATAGAGAGTTTGTAACTCACTTCTCTGGGTTATATTTTGGTGGGTTGCCAAAAAACTGCAGTGGTGGGCAGGTGACACCTGCATGACCTGAGGTGCTTCTGTACTGATGTGGAAGAAGTTCTGCTCTGTGGCATTGTAGAGCGGCCACTGCACATCCTCGGGGGTGGATCCAGTGGGATTCCTACCAAAGAAATGAAGAAATCATTGTTATCCACATTATAGTATATCCAGAGATTTCGTGGACTTCCCTGACTGATTTGGTGCCTTTCCACTGTGTTCTCAACTGTTGGTGTTATCTCCTGCTGCCTGTGTCTTTTTCAGGTCTAGAGTTGGCCAGATGAAGCCTCAGGGAACTGCTACAATGCTTTTCTCTGGATCTCGAAAGACAAAAAAAATAATAATCTCAGGGCAAGTAATGCAGGAGAAGTTTATAGTTTGCGTTCAGTGTCTGAGGTGGTTTTGAAGCCTGGCTTCTATCAACAAGCACTCCCGGGCAGGTTAAGGAACCATTTCCACCAGAGAAGGGGATCAAGTTACAGTTTGTGTGAGAGAGTGTGTATGTTGAGGGGGGAAGAGGGAGGGCGCGATTTTTTTTAGATCTACAACTTCTTGGAAACCCCAGCTACCATGGTTTCTAGTACTGTATGTTGTTTTCTCCAGCTCCGGAGGGTAGAACTTGTGGTAATGGACCCAAATTACAAGGGACCATTCTGACAACAGATTAAGAAGAACTGTGTGATAAGGTTGACAGTGGAATAGCCTGCCTCCAGAAGGGGTGGATTCTCCTTCATTCGTTGTTTTTAAGCAGAGACGGGATGGCCCTCTGTCAGGCTTACACTAGTTGTGGATTTTCTGTTTCTGCAAGGAAGTGGGTTCAATGATCCTTGGGGTCCCTACCAGCTATAAAATTCTGGGATTTAAAGTCCAAAAATGAGAGAGAGAGAGAGAGAGGCTGCCATGGTGGTATTCACATAAGGAGCCATGGTGGCTGCCATGGCGGTTGCCATGGTGATGAGCTATCTTCAAGTTAACACTTAGCATTATACCACAAAGTACATTTAATTCTGTATACCATATATCTAAGAAGAGGCGGTTCATTAACCCTATGAGAACCTGATTTGGTGCCTCTGTCAAATCACATGGAAAAAAGAATGGGAAAACATAGGAATGAATCCTGGGAAGCTACCTATTGATGGTGGCAAGCAGGTGGAGCGGGGATATTTTGTGGCCCCGTGAAGGGAGAGCTTGGACTCGACAATGGCCAGATTTATTCCCAGGGCTTGAGTTTCCCCATGCCTGGTCTAGAAGAGTATCACATGCCTTACCCACTTCGGCGCAAGCAGGTGGAGCGGGGATATTTTGTGGAGCTTGGACTTGACAATGGCCAGATTTATTTCCAGGGCTTGAGGTTCCCCATGCCTGGTCTAGAGGAGTATCACATGCCTTACCCACTTCGGGCAAACTCTGCCCAGTAGCGCATCACCCTGTGGCTCAGTCCAGCATCTGCTTCCGTGGTTGTTTGGCTTCTCGCTGGCAGGGATGACAGAGTTCCAAACAGGTAAGGCACCTCAGCGCCATGGGCTGCACCCATCCACTCTTGCCAAACGGAGCCAGAGACGGATTGGTTAAAGGAGTAGCCATATATAGGTCTTCCAGATGTTGCCATGCTTGCAGCAAAATCCATCATTGGGCACAAAAAGAAGTAATCTTTGTAAAACTGGGCTAAGGCCCTACGGTACTGTTCTGGCCCATGGCCATCTTCACTGTATTTCAGTGCTATAGCCTTGACCGCATCAGGTTCAGATTCCCCGTTCAATGCTAACTCTGTTTCTCGCAGTTGTTCCTCCCAGGTAAGTATTCCATCCTTGGTTGGAACACCAGCTACAAAGCTAGACCCATCATCGCCAGTGACTCCAAAGAGCAGGGGTTTAGTCTGTATCTGCCCAGTCTGTAGAAGTTTCTTTGGTTCATCAGGAAGAAAGTCCCCATCTGGGACAGGTCTGATGAGAGAATCCATAGTATAAAACACATCATCCCCAAAATCCATGTCCTGTAAACAGCTCACCACCGCACTGCGATTTTTTGGATCGCATGCTAGGTTTTCCAACAAAGCTTGTGCAGACAGTGTGGCCTCTTGAGGAGACTGCAAAGCCCAGCAAGAATTGGGAGTACCGCTCTGCAGCACTGCTTGGGCAAAAAGGGGTTTGCTCGCTGGGGAAAGGAGATGGAAGCCCACAGATGCTCCCCCAGCACTATGACCAATGAGTGTCACCCGAGCAGGATCACCACCAAAGACGGCGGCATTTTCCTTCAACCATTTCAGAGCCAAATGTTGGTCCCACAAGCCCATGTTTCCTGGGAAATGTGGCGGGAAGAAGAGGAAGCCCAAAAAGCCCAGACGATAATTCATGGAAGCCACAATGACCTTCTCAGTGGCAGCTAAAAAGGCCCCGTTGTACAATTCCAGAGAACTGGCCCCAGCAAAGAATCCTCCCCCATGAATCCAGACCAGGACAGGCACTGGGGCTGCTGGCCGTGGGTGAGGGACCCAGATATTGAGGAAGAGACAGTCTTCCGAAGGCGGTGTGTCAGCAAACCACAAGCTTCTATATGGATCAGAAAAATAATTTTTCTGACGGCAGGGGCTTCCGTAGCTGGTGGCCTCCAAGACGTGGCTCCATGGCTGATGAGGGAGGGGCTTCTGGAAACGCAGTTTCCCCAGTGGGGGCTCAGCATAGGGGATGCCTAGATAGGCCGTCACAGAGCCTGATCCTGCTGGGACGTGTTTGCCTTTGATAGGGCCGGTGCTGGTCACGACCACTGTATCCTCCTCTGAGGCGGCCGAACAGGAGACCAGGAAGAAGAAGCCGAAGCATGAAGACAGAAGAGCAGGCATGGCCACAGCTAAAAGAAACAGGGACCAAAAGTAGTTACATCTTGAATCTCATCTTCTGGGTCAAGGTCTCCCACCACTGAAGGAGAAAAAATGAACTCTTCCTCAAGACACGCACATGCACACATGCATACACTGTGTTGGTGCTAGAGTAAGCCACTCAGTCCCACCCTGGTGCATCTCCACCCTGTCGAAAACCACCAAGCCAACTGTATACCAGCAAAAGAAGGCCCAGCCTTGCTGTTCAGTTTAGCCCCAGTTAGTCTAGTTATCTTCAGCAGTAAGACCTGAACTCAAGGCTTCTCGCAGACAAGGCTTCAGTGATCCTGAGAAGCCCTTAACACAATCTGATAAACCCAAAGGTTTTGTGTAAATTGAACAAAGCATCAAGCTCTGTTTGCATCCCTTCTTTCTCTGCATTATTTCAATTTAGAAATCTTTTCAGTCCTATGGGGAAATGAGAAGGGTGGCAACGGAAATTCAGAAGTGGAATCTTCCAGAATTGAAATCTGCCCTCCAGGTGCGACAGCTTAGAGGGGACAACTCAGTTCAACCTTGATCCCTTTAAGCTAAAAAGCTGGGGGTTGCTCATTCCCCAGAATTCTGGCTTCGTTCAATTCCATGTATATTCTCTTTTGAGGAACCAGAGTTCTAGTGCTAGACCTCAGAATCTCTCTCACATTCCTCCAACTCACGCATCAATATTTTTGTGCATTCTTGAAGGGCTCTAGGCCTCCTGGGCTTAATGGACTCACCTGTTCCTCCTTGAAGCATTTGCCTGTCTGCAGTGTCTTTGTAGCTCACTCCAAATGACAAGACTAGATAATCAAGGCGTATGGGCTACTGTCAAATCCTACCAATAATGTGTGGGGAGGAGGTAGCTGACAGTATATATGTGTACAAAGGTCAATGGCCCCTTGGGCTTTGACTGCTCCATAGATGCAAGCCAGGTCTTAGGTAAGCACCCATGTCAAGGCTCAGAGGTCACAGGGTGAGAGGTGGCTGAGGTGAAAGAAAACAATGGTTACTTAAATTCCCCTTGCCTTTCCACCACAGGAAAGGGAAGCCTCCCTCAACACACATAGCAATGGAAGCCTGGTAAAGCCAGGCTTACACTTCTATTGAGGGGGATCTTTACTTATTTTACACCCATGGCCACAAATGAAACCTAAATTCAGAAGGGCCAGGCCAAGACCTTTTGCAGTGGAATGAAATGGACTGCAAAGGAAGGCTGGGGCATATTGCTGCCTAAAGCAAAGGATAAAATGGTTCCCTCTCCCCGGTTCTATGTATAGAAATAAAGTGACTTTTTATTCAACATTAATTCTGGAACACGTTCCTCTAGCACATGTCCATTGAGAACTGGCGACTCCAGTTTCAGTGAGCACTTCTATTTTTCGGTTCGAACTTTACAAGAACTGTCCAGGGTGCTGAAGTGTGTCCTCCAAAATGGTTCCTTTAAAGTCTGGGCTTAAAAACTGGAGCAGATTCACTGCCCCTGCAAAAAGGGAGTGCAGGACAGACCATGTAACACTCACAGCTCTGTCCTCCAGGTGAGGGGTATAGCTGGAAGAGAAAGCTGAGAACTGCCCCCTGCCTCCATCAGTATTTTCTGGCTGCTGTTTTTTTTCCCCTTACTCTGCCCAATTGGAGGGCTGGTCCTGAAGGACTCGCAGCTGAATCTTACTTCAGCAGTGATGATGGGAAAGGAGGGGAGGCTACCTTTTGCTAGCAGAAGGCAGGCCACATGGCACAGTGCAGAACCTATTAATATCTGTTACGTGGTACGGAAAATATGTATATATTGTACCTATAGCAAGAGAGATTGTATACACTTTTTGTTCTTGTAGCTCTCGCGCTGCTGATCCCCTGTGGAGGATGGAAAATGCTGGTACTTCACATCAGGAACGACACCATTGATTCTGGGGAAGTTGCTCTCTTTTGCGCTGCTTGCCCTGAGCGGCAAAATTGGTAGGTACAAATCTGCCTTTCCTAAATGCTTGCCTATTCTGCATGACCTGCTCTTCTGAAAAAAAACAAGGCTCCGGGTTGTTTGTGATCCCTACACCCTGTTAGCACACGCATAAGGGAACTTTGATCTTTCACTATAGTGTGCCTTGACGTAGATTGGGCTGAATATATAATACAAACAGCTATGCATAAGGGGAATTTTATTAAAGACAAAAAGAACTCATGTACAGCGCAGACACACAATGAAGTATAACAAATATGGGGAAATACAAGCTCATATAAGATATATGATGAAGATTATTGTACCTCTTGTCTTGGATCTATGGACTGTTGCAACTCCCGCTGGCAGGAGCGAGAAATACAGAAACAAGAAACTATTCATGAAACTGAACTGGAACTGAACCTGAACTGAACCCTGAATTTGAACAACTGGTAATGGCTGCTGCTACATGTATTTTTATAGGGTTTAGTGTTTTCCAGGCTGACTAGTGGTCTGGCTCCTTGTTGTCATGTGTTCTACTTTGTCTTCTCACTTGGCTAATCCACAGACTATAGACATAAGTGGCCATTGGCTAAACAGGAAAAAGAGGGTCTTTTCAGAGGCTGATCCCTGGTGTAATGTATATAGTTTGGCTGGCTAGCCTATATTATTTTAGTGAATGTCAGTCAGTGAACAAAAAAGGGTATGGCTTAATAGATTAGGAAAAGGGGGGAGGGGTGTTCTTCCCAGTACTGTACAAGCTCTCTGGCTTATCTTTGAACTTGCATTGGGACTTTGCTATACATTGCAGTTTTTGTTCTTGTTTTTAATTCTCAGGCAAAGAACAATATATTAAGAAACAAAACACCTTCCCCACAGAGGCCAGACTGGCCCCCTCCCTTCTGTCCATCCTCAAACATCCTTTGGTTCAGGCAGATAAATGCTTGCCTGCCAAGCAAGATGCTTTAATCAGGCATGCTGTGCTTTTCAGTTTTAAAAATACATTAATGTTTATTCTTTTAAATGTTTTAAATTCAGTAGTCATTTTAGGGCTCAGTCACACAATACATTAATGTTTATTCTTTTAAATGTTTTTGATTCAGTAGTCATTTTAGGGCTCAATCACACATGCCAAAAGAACCCCAGTTATACCAATATTGATGTTATTTAAAGTGTTTCAGAATTTTCACTTACCACAATACACAGCATAACATTGGGAAGAAATCAGCATAGATAGACCCCAGTTATACCAATATTGATGTTATTTAGAGTGTTTCAGAATTTTCACTTACCACAATGCACAGCATAACATTGGGAGGGAAATGACCCAGAATTAAGAAATCAGCATAGATAAAACTACTGGATAGCTCTATGGTTTAGGTATCTGGTTGCAGAGCCAGCGTTTTGGAGTTTGATTCTCTTCTGATCTTCCCTGAAAGGGGCTGGACTTGATGAACCATACCCTGTTTCCCTGAAAATTAGACCTAACCTGAAAATAAGCCCTAGTATGATTTTTCAGGATATAAGCCCTACCACCAAAATAAGCCCCAGTTAAGTGAAACCCCGCCCTCTAACCTTGTGCAGCAACCAGAAGAAGATGACATGACTGTATTTGAATAAATGTAGATTGTTGTACATGGAAAAAAAATAAAAACATCCCCTGAAAATAAGGCCTAATGTGGTTTTTGGAGCAAAAATTAATATATGACCCTGTCAAATTTCAGGGAAAAACAGTACAATCCTTTCCAGCTCTACGGTTCTAAGACAGTGGCGGTGGTGGTGGTGGTGGTGGTGATGATGATGATGATGATGATGATGTTCAGGTACATACTGAGTCACACAACGTAGTACACTATGCAGCTGATAATGTCTGTGCTGATTTCTTAACTCACAGCTATTTGCTTCCAAAAGCTATGCCTTTTGTGCTACACTTGCATAAGTAGGTAGGTATGCAACTACCTGTATACAGTGGTGGTGATGATGATGATGATGATGATGATGTTCAGGTACATACTGAGTCACACAACGTAGTACACTATGCAGCTGATAATGTCTGTGCTGATTTCTTAACTCACAGCTATTTGCTTCCAAACGCTATGCCTTTTGTGCTACACTTGCATAAGTAGGTAGGTATGCAACTATACAGCGAGGTTGATTTGGACTAATTCAGAGTTTTCTGTCCCAAGCCACTGGAAGCTTCTACTGCTGAAACCGCTGTTGTTGTTCACTTGGAAAATGATTACTTATCCATGCGAACCTAAAATCACTGTCTATATCAACTGCAGCAAAGACTCCCACCCTATTAGCCCGCTCACTTCCCCACCCTTCACCCTTCTCCTTCGTCCATGGACTTCTTCCTTTTAAAAAATCGACAGATGATACTATGCTGAATGGACGGAATAGCCTGCTAACTTAGCACAGTCTTGTCCCATGTGTTAAAAAAAAAAGAGAGAGAGAGGTAAGGGGATGTGAAAAGTGTCCTGGCAAGAGGAAACAGCTGAACATGGGGGGGGGAGAGAGAGAGAGAGGCCTAAGCTGAAGAAGAAGCACTGAAGTCTAGCCACTTGGGAGGAGGAGAATGGGCTGGAAGCAACAACAATAGCAGCAGCTCTGGCAAAGCTTTCTCCATATAAGTGCTCCAGCTCCTTCCAACCAACTCCAGTGAGAGCTTGTTAGTGTCAACATCACCTAGGGGACACACACACACACACACACACACAGAGAGAGAGAGAGAGAGAGAGAGAATTGGTCCC